AGTTATTATTACTATTATTTGCTCTTGGAGTGCCAACTTGGCAGGCTGAAGGCAGAGAGGAAGGTACACCATGCCCAGAATCTCATCGTGGAGAATAAAGTGCTAGAGGTGGGAATAAAGGCGACTCTACACTCTATGCTTTTTCTTGGAAGAAGCTGACGCCAACATATCCTCATGGAATTAGCAGGAAATTTCCATCGCAGTCTTTGTCTTCTCTAAGGGGAAAAGGCTGCTGAACCTTGATTTTTCCCCCCAAACAGGAAACTAGATTTCAAAAAGACACAGCCCTGTTCTCCTCAGGTAACACAGTCTTATTTCTTGATGAGAATTGGCTACACGAACCAGATAGGAAGTCTGAAACCACAGTCAGGTCTGTGTAAGCAAATCCAATAGGAGTTCTGAGCCACTCATTATGTCCTAAACTATCGAGCCAGTTGTGTTCTCACGTTCCAATCAAGTCAGTGCAGAGGTTTTTTTTTTTTTTTTTTTAATTTTTATATGGGCTAAGTTTTTTTTCTTCCCTGATGAACAACACCCTTCAAGCAACATGGTAAAAAAATATGAATAAGAGAGTGTTACTAAGGGAAGGCTTTTTCAGTGTTGGTATTGTAAAATCATAGTCAGGATATCGAAGTTTCCTTTGCTTTGTAGGCTGTGCTATTTACGTTTGCGCTGCGTGCCGTGAGGCATACCTCATTGAGTAATTGCCTTGGCAAAAGGTCAGTGAAAATGATTAAAACGAATGGTTGTAAGCCAGCAGCCACCTCTGTGTGCTCAGCCTCCAATAATGTAGACTCTACCAATCAGTATAAGGTTGTGGAAATCAAATCAGTGAGGAAAAATGCTTCCCCAACCCCTGGACTTTCCATGTCTCCTCATTATCATTGGACCAAGTTTGAACATGACCACTATACAATAGCTTTGGATACATGGTTACTACTCGACCTTCTCGTTCTGCTTGGTAGGATATTTAAGACTCTCATCCCTAATGCTATAGTGAAAGCAGAGAGGATCAAGGGAGTTGCTCCGTCTGTATTGTCTAAGGCTGGTTACAGCTTTGTGGCTGGTGATTCCTGTTTTCTCCATTATTCATTCATGCACTCACGCACTCATTCATTCATTGAACAGATACTCATTGAGCACAAATAGCATGTCATGTTAGGTTCTTAATAAAATAGTATATAAAATAGATGTGGTTCCTAACCTGAAAGCACCCTATTTTGGAGGGATGATCAAGAAGCATCTCTCTCAGGAGACAACATTTAGACTGAGACTTAAGATGAGGCATCAGCTATGTGAAGAGAAAAGAACATTTTTTGTCTGGGGGTAGAGTGAGCGTGAGAGATCTAAGCAGGGAAAGAGCGTGGCACTTTCTAGCACTCAGAGCAGCCTGATGTTGGTGGGAGCCCATGGCCCAGGCATAGAGACTGTGGGTGGCTGTGGAGAGCTAGCCAGGGGCCATGCTGGGCCTTCAAGGTCAGCCAAGGAGTTTGGATTGAGTTCTGAGTCAGGTGGTAACCACTGAAGAGAATCACATGATCTCTGTACATGTTCACAAAGACCACCTTGGTCGCTGTGTAGAGAAGAGACTGGACAGGGACAAGAGTGGAAGAAGAGAGACTAGTCCAAAGGTTATGTAGGGTAGTTTAGTGAAAGGATAACGGTGTACTGCTGGAAGGTGGGGAGGTGGAGATGGCTCTAATTGATAAACTTTGGAGTAGGGTTGAAAATCTAACTATTCATGAGCCTTCCACACTGCTCCAGATGGCCTCTAGATGTGTGGTGTACACACAGAGGCAGCAGGGGTTGAATCTTCATGGGGTTGCGTGTGGGTCCCTGTGCTGTGGGCCTCATTGGCCTCTGCTGGTGGCCCTCATTCTCTGCTCTGGGCCTTGGGTCCTTTGTATGGACATGCTCTACTGATGGAAGACAACTCAATTTGTGCTTTTGTGTTTTTGCCTCAGTTGGACCCCCTAGGCCTCCCTGGCTGGCTCAGCCTCACTTCAGGGCTCATCTAGGTCCTCTGTTTGGCTCCTGCCTAGTCTGTAGCACCTTGGCGTTAGGGTCACCCTGCCTTCCCTGGCATGTCAGGTGAGGACCTCTGAGTCCCTGACCCACCACAGAAGGGTAATAAGATGCTACCTTGGGCCTCTTCCTGATTCATCAGACCAGGTGGCATTTTCACTTTGGTGCAGCCAGCCCCATGTGTGTGTGGAGGTTACCAAGCCAGTCTTCCTCTTTTTTCATACTCCACTGGGGTGCAAGGGGAAGACTTTTTACTCTTTTTCCACTGGATAAAAATTTACCTTATGTCACATCCTTGTCTTCCGCAGGACAGCAGGCTTAAAGGCCCAGCTGTCATTCACATCCCTTCCTGTGCTATACGAGATACTCGTAACATCTGAGGCTACCAGGCTGGCTCTCCATATGGGAACCGTGGGACTGTGGATTATTGAGGTTGGAAATACTTTGGTTTATTCCTCCAAATTATTGTCCTTGTGACCCTCAGTGTTGGTAGGCATAGCCAAAGTTGTCAGCACCAGCATTAACTGGGGTCATAGTTTGGCTTATATTGTTAAATTGCTCTCTTCTGCCTGTAGGGCAGGGCAATAAAGTCTTTCTGTGATACGGCCTGAGGGCAGCCTCTAGCTGTATCTCACTGCTGCCCTTCTTCTTGTACCCCATGCTCTGGCCAAATTGGACTTCTCAGTGCTTCTCTGGTATGCCTCATTCATTCATGCTTCTGTGCCTCAGTGCTCTGGCTTATGTAGGACATTTCTTAGAAAATACTTCCCTTATTCCTTTATCTCCTTTTTGTATTTTTCATGAAAATCCTACACATCTTTTAAGGCCTGTCTCATGCGCTATCTCTCAGAGATAGCACCTTCGGATAACCTCAGAGCCCTTCAACTTGGACTCATTGCTACTTCCTCTTATGCTCTTATGACACTTTGCCTTTGCTGCAAACTTTATCAATTTCTGTTTTGTGTTGGTGTGTATGTCTGTTTTTGTCTCCTAGATGAGAAGCTTCTAAGGGGGAAAGCCAGACAATACATAGCCATATATGGACTATATATCACTGTCACCTCTGCTTCCTGTCACCTTGCTTTGCACACAAAAGCACTTGATAATAAACAAATAATGAGTACACACTACATAAAGCTCTGTAAATCTCACATTAGAAGCTTTGAAACAAGTACAGAGGTGCTGTTTCTCCTAACATTTGGTGGCATTTTTCTATTAAATCTCCATGCAGACCTCTTGGCCTGAGATAGAATGAGCTGTGGGAAACAGGTTTTCAACCTTTTCTCCCAGGCCCATGAAATAGAATGTCATTTTATTTACAGGAGCCTGTGGAGGCCTTCCAAACATGGCAGCACAATCATATATCAGAAACCCCTTATCATAAATGAGCCGGACAGGATAAGCCGACTTGAAAGAGAAAATAAAATATTATAACCCCAACTTGAAAAGAAAATATGGTGTGTGGTTTATTGCTGTGGATTATGGAGGAAGAAAGAATGGATCTTAAGTCAAAAACAGAAAAGCAGTGACAGCCTTTAAATGCAATACAATATTCACAGGGCAGACACTAGACTTTAGAAAGCCAAAGGCTTCAGGCTCCTGCTCTGGTCTATAAAATAGATGTAAAATTGCTTTTGCTACATTATTAGTGCTACATTATTAGTGTGCCATTCTAGAGGCAAGGACTGTTTTAGGGGGAAAAAAATTAACTTTGATACTTTCAAGTCAGAGTCTGTTGGTCAGAATCTCACATTGCATTTTAAAGACCTTTAAAGACTGTGGCTTTGGGAAATTCCACTCTGACAAAGTGAGCCAAAGAGGGACTTGGAAAGATTTGCTCCATAAGAAATGACTGTAGCCATCTTAGTGGATAAGGTCTGCAATGAGCAGAAATGGGAAGGTGGTCTTAAATAATGATACCTTCTTTCTAGAATTCCCTTCTGTTGAGAGTGCCTTCCATCCTTTCCTGAGCTCCCTCATCCCCCAGCCCTACGTCTCAGTTGCTTGAAGGTAGTGAGTCATTCACATCTGGTTTAGACGCAAAGATATCAAAAGGGCCTCCCATGGCCAAGGCTGGAAGAAGAAATGAAAGAGCACATGTGGAATTTGTTGGTCAGGCTTGGTCTAGTCTGGAGGCATGAGGGTGATATGTCCAACCCTCACCATGTTCGAGGGGACTGAGATGAGAAGCAGTAGGCAGGGACTTCTACACTGGAGTTTGAGCCAGATGCTTCCTCAGGACCCAACCAACCTGGGTCACACAGTGGTTTGAGTCTTCTGATTTGCTTGTGAGCCTTGGAGACTGGATGAAATGCACTGTAGTCAGCCCCACTGAGTCCCTTGTTTACAGATTTTCCCTTGGGTGCAACTTGATAAAAGTCTGGCTACTTTTTTTTGACTGGTACTTTAGGTCATTAAGTGAATGATCTCTAGGTCTCTAGGAACAGGGAAAGGGCAACTTAAGTGAGATGGATATACAATTATCTGGTTCTTTCAGGCTGAGGTGGGTTGTGTGGTGGTCTCATTCCATTGGATTGGATTCACTAAATCCATCCTTTCATTATTTACTCACTTGTTCACTCGTTCATCATTCAACAAACTCTTTTCAAGTGCTTTCCTGTGTGTCATGTACCATGGACTTGACCATTGCCCAGTTTTCTATGTCCATGCCTTTGTTTGTCTAGGCAAGTGATTTATAGTCTTTTGGGGGTGGGGCAGGAAAGGTGAGCAGAGGAGTTTACAGTCACATACTGGGAAAACCTGGATGTTTTAGGGAGAAGTGGGTCAGGGGGGTTAGACATCTGTGTGCCAGGCCCAAGTCCTATCTCAACTTCAATTTAAATCTCAAACTTAAAGGAAACTAAATAAAAACAACAGCTGTTACTAACAGAATGATTTTTGTTATTTTTCTAGGACCAACCTAAAAAGAAATCTGTTAATTATAAATACAACTTATGTTTTTTGTTTGTTTCCAGATCACCAGATTAAAAATTGATCGAAACCCTTTTGCTAAAGGATTCAGAGATTCTGGAAGAAACAGGTAAGAATAATTGGGAGAGACTCACCGACCTTTCTCTTCTATGTGACATTATTCCACCAGCACTCCATTTGTGTTAGCCACTATGCTGACTCAGGCAGAAAGAAATGGATGGCTGATACTTGGATCAAAGAGCTGTCCCTCAAAAGTTGAATTTTCCAACTTTTTGTTAACACGCTGTATGTACATCACCAGATCAAATCTCTCATGATGTTTTTCTCTTTGGTAATCCAGTCACTTAAAACAAATTTTATGGTGATTGATTATCATCAAAAGATTGGCACTTTTTCTGGTAAGTGCTGTAGGTGGCCACAGCACCCTGAGTGACATCTTTATTTTGCATTATCAGGAACAAGGAACTGTGGACAAATTAAAGTTATCAGAAAATTATTACTTTAAATTTTTTTTAAGTTTATTTATTTATTTTGAGAGAGAGAGAGTGAGAGAGAGAGCATGAGCAGAAGAGGGGCAGAGAGAGGAAGAGAGAGAAAGAGAATCCCAAGCAATCTCTGCACTGTCAGTGCAGAGCCTGATGTGGGGCTCGAACTTACAAATCATGAGATCATGACCCCAGCTGAAATTGAGAGTCAGATGTTGAACCTACTGAGCCATCCAGGTGCCCAGAAAATTATTATCTTTAAGAGCTCAAACATTGTTAAGAAATTAGCCATTTTTCTCCTAAGACATATTCCCAAAATATATTAGATGTTGCCTACCTTAGTAAAGACAGTTTCTAGAACATGACCTTTCCTGATGGCCCAGGATTGTCATTAGGATTAGGTTGTCATATAGGGAAATTCTGAGGAACTGCTCACATTTGAAGGACTCTTTGCTATTACTGTAAGTGGACTTAGCAACATGCGTTTTTCTGGTTAATCCTTTCTTTCTCACCTTTCCTCTATAAAATTAAAATCTGTTGGGGCGCCTGGGTGGCTTAGTCGGTTAAGCGTCCGACTTTCGCTTAGGTCATGATCTCGCGGTTCGTGGGTTCGAGCCCCGCGTCGGGCTCTGTGCTGACTGCCGGCTCGGAGCCTGGAGCCTGTTTCGGAGTCTGTGTCTCCCTCTCTCTCTGACCCTCCCCTGCTCACGCTGTCTCTGTCTCTCTCTCCTAGAAATAAAAAAAAAAAAAAAAAAAATTAAAATCTGTTATCCAGAGAGCCAGGAGAGAACTGAAATTGTCAGGAAACAGATCTATCTAAGGTTATACAGTCAGAAAAGTTCACTTCATATAAACCATACTGAAACCACAAATGTGACTACACATGTTTTATAAAGTGTGCAGGTTTGGGAATGTCTGGGTGGTCAGTCAGTTAAGCGGCCGACTTCAGCTCATGTCATGATCTCATGGTCTTTGAGCTCGAGCCCCACCTCCTGCTCTGTGGGGACAGCTTATAGAGCCTAGAGCCTGCTTCAGATTCTGTGTCTCTCTCTGCCCCTCCCCTGCTTGCTCTCTGTCTCTCTCTCTTTCAAAAATAATAAACATTAAAATTTTTTTAATCCATTTGTCAGTGGATAAAATTTTTTTAAATGTTTATTATTTTTGAATGGGTAAGGAAGATGTGGTTTATATACACAATGGGATACTACTTGGCAATGAGAAAGAATGAAATCTGGCCATTTGCAGCAACATGGATAGAACTGGAGGGCATTATGTTAAGTGAAATAAGTCAGTCAGAGAAAGACAGATACTCAAATGTGTTTCTTGAGAAACTTAACAGAAGACCATGGAGAAGGGGAAGGGGAAAAAACAATTTACAGAGAGGGAGGGAGGCAAACCATAAGAGACTCTTAAATACTGATAACAAACTGAGGGTGGATGAGGGAGTGGGGGAAAGGGGAAAGTGGGTGATGGGCATTGAGGAGGGCACTTGTTAGCTTGAGCACTGGGTATTGTACGGAAACCAATTTGACCATATATTATATGAAAATTTTTTTTAAAGTGTGCAGGCTTTGCAGTAACTATTTACATTAGTGTTCAGACATTTTCCTCATTTGGGGACATTTCTTTACATCAAAATGACACAGATTGTCAAGAGTTATCTGTGCTATTTCTCTGCAAGAGTTTTCATGACACTGTCTAGTATTATATTTAGAATCCCTTCACGAACTATATAGCACATTCTGGAGAACCAGATGTACGCTAAACATCATCTGTAGTGGTTATTTCCCTTACAAAATGACTAATGGCAGCACTTTAAAAAAAACAATTTTTTTTTTTAAAATTCCAGTATAATTAACATACAGTGTTACCTTAGTTTCAGGTGTACAATATAGAGATTCAACAATATTACTGAGTTCTCATCATGATAAGGGTACCTTTAATCCCCTACAGAGGCACTTCTTTATGAAACTCTTTTTGTATATTTAAATAGATTTAGATTTCTAGAAATTTTTATTTACCTCCAAAGTTCTTGAGGTTACACCTATGGATTGAAGTAAAATTCACTTGAACTTCTAGTTTGAAGATGACAGAATTGTGTAATGTGTTCTAGATCAAGCAACTGGTTAGTGGTGTGGCCACTAGAACTCAGGCATGGGGACTCCAGGCCAAATGCTTTCCCGTTCAGCAAAGACTTTTGTCTTCAAAAGTCAGCCAGTGGGGAATGTGTACTCTTTCTGCCAGTTAGTTTATATTCCATGTTCAGGTTGGAGACTTGCCCATGAGCTGTTTCCGTTTGCTTCCTTTTCAGAGCTCTGCATCCTAGGCCTACTGAGGACCTTGCTAGCAATGATAAGCTCAGAATAGAATCTGACCTTTGATAAAGAAGCCTCTCGAGTTCTTAAGATCTTTAGCTTAAGAGCTCATGGCTGGATTTTGGGGGTTCTTTGAGTTCCCAGATACTATAAGGAAAATTGTGTGTGGATGAGCAGATATGCATTTTTCTTAAGAGAGGTCTACAGCTTTCTCCAGATTTTTGGAAGGTTCTGTCACCAAAAGTTAAGAATTTTTTCCCCTCGACACAGCAGGGGGGCAACCCTGATGACTTTAGTTATTTAACTACTTTCTCTTTCTTTCCTTCTGTATCTCTAGTGGCATTTAATATTTGTTTACTTTTGTCTTGGCACTCCAAAGGTTGTTCTGATTTCTTCTTTGCCTTTTATTCCCATTAATGTCCTTGTGTTTCAGAGGCGTGACTGAGAACAGAGAATTGGGATAGGCCGTATCGACCAGTGTTTTGGGGCTCTGCTCTGGGAATTGGAGCCACACTTTAATCTTGGGAATAAGACTATGTGTCTTGAAGCATTTGCCTTGGTTAGGAAGTTGTGATGCCATCTTGGTTCAAGTCCTGAGGTTCTCCTGTCCCCTCACTGGGCTAGAAGGGAGCTAGGCGCATCATTTGATCCTGGCCCGGGTCTGCTTTGGGGCTGGTGAATGTCCCACTGCTTAGACAGATGGTTGTTTGTCTTGCCTTGTGGGCTACTCTTCTTTGTAAGGACTCCAGTGGGGGCAGAACCATCACTCCTCATTAGCCCATTTCAGTCTCTTATTTATATACAATTTTTCTGGTAGCATGGTGATTCTTCACTATATCTGGCTAAAACCTGCAGGCTATTTTATTTTAAGTAATGTTAGTAATTATAGAAATTATTTGTGATAGAACACTTACTGTGTCCCATACCTTTTACTTATATTTTTTCCTAATCTTTAAAGTCACCTATCTTTTGTATATATAGGAAACTGAGGCTCAGAGAGCTTAAGCAGCTTCCTAGTGTCACACAGCAAAGCTGGAGCGCTGAATAACTCCCAGGCCCACGTGTGCACTCTGTGCTCTGTTCCTGCTGACAGTTTAAACTTGACTTATTTTATCTTCGACAGGTATGGAGAATAGAACTCTTCCTCGAATATCTGATAATGTGTACTCATTCTCCGTCTGTCTTTGTAGACTTCCCGTGGCTTTGTCATCTGCTTGCTGTACCCTCCCTGTAAATAAGGGGTTCCCTAGAGGACAGGAAGTCAGGTTGATCTTCCTAGCAGGTGAAACTATGACATAATGACCCAGAAGGCCCCTGCCTCATGACAGGGCAAAGATGGATCATTAGCTATAGAAGCTATTTTTGTCTTCCAGTGCTCTGGAAACTAGATTAAAATAGACCTTTGGGGGCAAGTCTGGGGGCCCTTGTATTTTCTCTTTAAAAAACTCAAAATTACCTGATAATCAGACTCAAAGTCTCACTACTTGCCTGCGGGATCTGATAAGGACAAGGATGATTAGTGGAAAAGACTGGTGAGGCTACAGAGGATTATTTGTAACTCTTCTGGGATCTGGGAGTTCTGTGCCAACACCAGAATCCAGTCTATCACCTTCCAGCCAGTGCCTCACCTACTGCCCTTCTTGTGCTAACAGAGTTCTTACAAATCTGTGCTCTTCCCCATCCGTTTTAGACATCAGTGACTCATACAGAGGAGCATGGTTTGATGAGTTGCATATAAACGTACCCAAAACATACGGATTACATTTCCTTTAAAAACACATGGGCTTAAAAATTAAGGGGGGAAAGTGCTTGGCCAATGTTTTTTGGTTTTGCAGAACACAAAACATTTGTGGAATACTTTGGAGTTCCAGAATTTGCCAAACCTCAAACCAAAACACGTTTAGGTTTGTCGATCTCAATCTATCCCAGCACGATCCAAAGGCTCAGGAAGGGAGGGGTGTAGAGGGAAGATGGGGAAGACACAGCACCCGCCCTACTCTCTTCAAGTGCCTCTCCTGAGTCTCTCCCTCCCAGCCAGCCTCTCACTGCAGCACCCTCTGAGTATGGCCAGAGCACAGAGAAGAACTGAGGGGGCTGGGGTGAGGATGCTAATTCCCATTACTCATATATATTTTTTAAAATGTTTATTTATTTTGAGAGAGACAGAAAGAAAACATGAACTGAGTAGGGACAGAGAGAGAGAATACCAAGCAGGTTCTGTGCTATCAGCACAGAGCCTGATGTGGGGCTTGAACCCACAAACCATGTGATCATGACCTGAGCCAAGATCAAGGGTCAGACACTTAACT